CAAGATGTAGAACATGACGAGACTCTTCTTTTCGAATACTTACTATTTAAGTGCAAAAAAGGAACTAAAAGTTCAATGGCTCAAAAACTCTAAAAAACTGGCGCCAATATAGCATGAGCTTAGACAGAGAAATTTTGAATACGCAATCAGAAAACCAGAAACTGATAAAAAATGAAAAAAGATTTTCGGTTTTTTGTAAAGAGAGCTTATTTTTCGAATAGGGGATGACGAAAATCTTCAACGATGTTTAGAAAAAAAGAAGGTGCCGAGTAAAAATTTTTGTCGTTTATCAAAGATGAGATCATGAGCTATCTTCCTATGCATTTATCCTAATTTCGATGATTCTGACGAAAAGTGCCTTTTTTTTCAAGGATGGCCTTAAAATTTGTTTTCTCTTATATTCAGATAATTCTTGATTTATAGTATATTCTCTACAAAACTTCAATCAAAAAATATTTTTGTTTCAATTTATACCATAATTTTTAATGGAGTGCTTATTTTCTTTTGGTTCACAAAGTATCTTATAGACTTCAGAAAAAAATGCAGTTTTCTTCTCAGCTTTTGATCAAAGTCCACCTTCAAGGACACTATTATAAAAATTTCAAATAAATATTAAAAAAAGTTATTTGTTAAGATCTGTAATAGTTTCTTGTATTAGAAAGTTTGTATTGTCAAAGAAGACTATGGTCTCAACACATTAGAAGATCTCGAGTCTTTCATTTTGTTTGATTCTTGTTCAATATATCGTTATTAAACGAGTTTATTTCATCTATCTCACATGCATAAAATGATAAAGACACAGATAATATCATGTGGCAAAAAAGGAAACCAACAATTTGTATTTTTTTCTAAACGATAAAATTTATTCCTGACAATATTTAACACCCTCAACAGCTAAATAACTGAAAAAAGAAGAAAAATTAAAATTTTTCTATCAATCCTATTTAAGTCAGTTGTTTATGTTGAAGTTGGAATAGTTTAAATAGAATTCATTCACAGTAAAATATACTATTCGGAAACATTTAAGTACATATCTAATGTTTTCAAAAAATACTTTTAGATCTTTTTTTGCGAAAACAAATATGTTCTCAAGCTCAGAAGGAATACTTCATAGAATAAACCTCAATGTGAATTGCTTGAAGATATATTTTCTTTAATTATGAATGTATTATTTTACCAAAAAAAAAATTTCGACATTTCTAGAAGAATGTGAGTGTACAAGCGAAAAGATTTTATCACATATATTTCTATTTAAAAAAAATTTCTTCATATTTCATAGAATATTGATTCTTTTCAATCTAAGAGAATTTTATTCCATCATCAAATACACTGAACAGACACAAATACATTGATTACAAATAAAAAGATGAACAAATATGTGACTTAATTCTTTTGTTTCTTAACAAACATTAATTCTCATGAAATTATAATAATAATAAAAAAAAAAGTGTTCTAGTCAAAATGCAGTGCTGCGCAACCATAATGAATTCATCTAATACAGAAAAAAACAAAAATTTTTAGAATCTTATATGGAATGCTAATCACAAGAATTAAAATATGATCTAATGTATATGTATATAATAACATTGATAAAAAGAAAAGCAAAGAACGACATTAGGAGAATAAGAAAAGAAGTTGTTGTCAATATAAATAGAACAAAAAAAAACAGATTTAATGTGCTCCATCTTGATTGTCATCAGCATCTAAACCGCGTGTAACTTTACTAAAATCAAATGATTCACCCATATAACGACGATAAACATCAAGAATATCAAGACAAGTTGATTCGAAATGTGTTGTTGCATCATACGAACTTGTAATAAAAAGCTAAAAAACAAAACATCAAGTAGATTCGATTAGAGAAAAATAAAAAAAATGAATAATTTTTCTTCTACTTTGCTTGCTGTTCCATCATCAATTGGTTCATATAAATCAGTAACAGTAACAAATTTTTGATAAATTGGTTCAAGTAAAGCAAGACCAGGTTTAATTTCATTCTCAGGATTGTTTGTTTCAACTGTTGTACTAACTAATGCAACATACCAATCTTTTGGTGTAACCATATTTGTTTGACCCATACAACAAACATAAATATCTAAAAAAACAACATGAATATTTGAAAAATAAAAAGATTTGTTTTTTGCTCTTTACCATTATGACGTTGAACTTGTTTTTGAGGTATAATTATTTGAATTGAACCTGGTGATGTATTCGATCCAACACTAACAGGATGTCGTAAAAGACAAATAGCTCGAATAACTTGACCGACTTTTCTAACTTTATCTGGTGTATATGATGGATCACATATAACAGCTTTACAACGAGCTGTTTGATCACCTGATCGAACACCAACAACAACACCATTTTCATAGACAATTTCATCAACTGGTTTATCAAGCATATATGTTCCACCATAAATAGCACTTAGCCTAAAAAATAATATGATTTACTTATGTGACTATTGTATAATTTGAAGTAGTATCTATCTATTGAGTACATTTTGGAATTGAAAAATTGTCTTTTAAGCATTAGAAAATCAAAGGTGATTATAAGGTTTTCATCCACAAATGGAATATATGAAGATTAGTAGAGAAAGATATTCTCTATAGATCTCGTTCTAAGGTCAAAAATAAACGCGAAACTTCTATTCGCCTTTAAGTAACGAAAATGGCGAAAACTATATAGCATAGAGCCTGTCGGATCGATCCCGATGGAGTCTAATTTGGAATGTATATTGTTTTATTGATTTTTGGTAGCGCTTTTCAAAAAAGTACAACATGAGTTTTTAGGGTATCTTCGATATGTTGGCTTTTTTAATAAAGAGATATTCATCCCAAACAGTATCTAAAGTCTGTAAAAAAAAAATGCGCAGCTCGATCTAACAGATCATCTCGAAGACACGTGTGCGATTGTGATTTTAGTATCTCATAGAAGACAATATTCATGAATTTTGATAACATGATTTTTGTCTTGAAAATTTTCAAAGAAGCTTCTTTTGTTTGAAAGAACATGTCAAAATGTAGGACATGACAGAGTTCGTTTGTTTGAATTAAGCTTTGGTACTGTTATATGATGAAAAAAGTACTTTTATAATTCGAATGAGAGTTTTTCAAGACATTTTTCTTTTCTTCTTAACAAGTAAGAATTTAAAAAGAGCATCGCATCTTGACATACTCTTTCAAAACAAACAAAATAAATCAAATTTCTAGCATGTCGACTCATAGAAAATTTTAAATTATTCAATGAGCTATTTATGATACTTGTTTATTGAATATCTTTCAAAAAATTTTATCCTATATGACTGAAAACTCCATGCGATTCAAAAAAATATCTAATCTAAAATCGATTTTTGAGAGGAAATGGAGAATCTTTAAAGAATATAGACTGAAGAATGTTTACTAATCAAACATTACTTTTTTCATTATAACAATTTTCTTCGAAAATAATCAATTACTTTAAGAAGTTTTCAATTTCAAATAAACATACCGTGCAAAACCTTGTGGTAATTCACCAAGACCATAGAGTGGATAAAGATATGGTGATTTACCATAACGTGCTAATGATTCACTGTAAAGTTTAATCCTTTTAATTGTATCTAGCACAGGTTTTTCTAAATAACTAAAAAAATTTTTTTTTTTTTGCATTATAAAATATTATTTAAGTAAAATTGATATTACTCATCATCACTATGAAGTGCTAAAGCATGACCAGTAAAATCAATTGTATCTTGACTAAGATCATATTTTTTAAGTCCATCAATTGTACGTGTATTTGGTGAAACATCCTTATATGTTTTAGGATCTTTTTCATCATAATCATTAACCCAAACAAGTAAATTACGAAAACGTCGTTTTTCAAAAAGACCCATTAATGCTTAAAGAAAAAATAAAAATCTATTAAAAAAGAAAACAATATGATCATTTTCGTTTTTACTTACATGATGAAAGTGCTTCTCTTTCATCTGCTGGTACTTTATAAATTTTTTGACCTTTGTATACATAACTACCTTCAATACATTTAAATTCAAGATAACGAGTTACACCTGTATGAATTAATAATTTAACAAGAAGACCTATAAAAATCAAATTCAATAGAACATATATATGTTGTTGTTGTTGTTTTTTTTTTACCATTAGCCATAAGAAATTTTGGAATTAAATCAACATTCCAATCTCGACCACGTCCTGTATCAGATGGTGGTGGTGGTAAATTAAATTTTGAATAAAGCTAAAAGTTATTAATAATAAAAGAAAAAAATTCATATGAAAATAATAATCTATTTACATCTTCTAATGGCGTCATTGATGCTGATTCACCACCATAATATTTATTTCGATCCATATGTAAAATTTTCTTTCCAGCTACACCAAGTAAACCGGCTAATACACATTCCTAGACGAAAGAATTTTAGAATAAAATAATTAAATTTTATTTTCTATACCTTTAAACCTGTACCCAACAATATAACATCATATTCTTCATCCATGATTAAAAGCTTTTTTTTTACGCAAAAAAAAAAGACGATTGAATCGACTGGTTGTTCTGAAAAATGTAATAATATTTAAAAAAAGAAAAAGAAAAAAAAACTGACACGCGTACAAATACGAAGACGTGATGACAACGACTCTCGTATGATTCAATGAGATGTTTGTTTTAGAGAATACAGATGTCGAAACAAGTAGCGACAAACTGCATTATTTTAGCACATCTTCTCTCGACGAATTGTTATGTCAATCGTAATGGATGCACACAATCGAATTTTTATTGGTTAATTATGCTAAACCTAACGACATCTTCAAATATCAATTTACTAAATGATTATTTCTATGATAATAAAGATCGATTTCATTTTTTTTGTTAAGATTTTTTTTCTTTAAAAAGAAAAACGAACCTTGATTTCTTTTACATTGTCGCTACTATCAATGATAAGAACAATAACCTTTCTTTGCGGTTTAAACTTTTATTATTTTCAGATTTGATTTTTTTTCAAATTGATAATCATGTCAAAACGAAAGGTAAATTAATCATCAATAAATATGTATATATTTATAATATATGTCATTTTTCCTTTTTATAAAGAAAAATGATCCGAATCCCGAAGATGAAGATGATAATGATTCACAAGATAAACAACAACGTCATGTAGAACCACAGGTTGTTAAATAATAATATCATTATTTTTTTTATCTTTTAATTTTTTAGAAAGTTTATGATTTTCATAAGAAAACAATTGAAATATATCCTGAACGTTTACGAGAATTAAATCGTCAGTTTCTTTCATCTATATCCACACAAATAACAAGTGAACCTTATAGTGTACTTGTTGGTAATTGTCTTGATTATGTTCGTCAATATTTTAATTATGAAGATGATTTACTTAAATATTCACCATGGCTTGTAACAAGACTTAAACAATCTCGTTCAGGTTAAATATATACAATTATTAAAATAAAATAGAGATAAAATTTCTTTTTTTCTTAGATATCGTTAAATGTTTACCAGAAACGATTGATATTTATGAAGCACTTGCACGACATGATTTTGATCGTATATTTGATAAAAATAATATTGATACATCATCATCTATTCGATCATCAGATGATTCAATTACAGATAAAACTAATATTTCTGGTCAATTAACTACACCATTGGTTCAATTACGTCCTCCTCCTCCGTCAACAATAAGTTCATCAACACCATTATTTAGTTTTACGAAACCACCACCACCACCACCAACAACAACAACAACCACACCTCCTGTTAGCGAATCAACACCATCAACTGGTTTTAATTTTAAATTGGCTACAACACCAGAAAAAATAACAAATACATCACCATTTTCTTTTACTCTACCAAATACAGGATTTGGAACAGTATAATAAGACTGTTTTTGTTTTTAGTATTATTTTATTCTTATGATTATTTTAGTCAACATTCTCTTCGACTAATTTTGGTATTCCAACAAGTACAGAAAAATCAACAACTGCTTTAGCACCTTCAATAAGTTTTACACCACCATCGAAAATTTCGTTTGCACCAACACTACCAACTAATAAAGAACAACAACCAACAGCAACAGAAGATAATGAAGATGGTAAAATAGCAAGAATTTAAAAAAAAAAGGTTTATTAGAATTTTTTTTTTCGTTTTTTCTTAGAACCAAGTGAACCACCAGAACCAGAAAAAGTTGAACATGAAGCAGATGCAAAATTAACATATAGGTACATATATATATATATATATATCAAAATTGAATATAAGGATTTATAATTAAACGAAAACAAAAGCTTATCAGTAAAAATAAACAATCCGTTAGATGTCTATTCAATTAAAAATATTGATGGAAAAGAAAAATTAAGATCAAGCATCAAAATCGGACCGTTTATTGATGAGTTATACTAAGTCGAGAATCGCCCGACCTCTACTCTATTAGAGCCGGTGCAAAGCCAAAAACCGCCACAATCATTGCAGTCCTCTAAAAAGTTTATTATCAGAGTGATCACAAATTGAATACGAACACATTTAATACTTTAAAAAATCACATCATGATATTTTGGATGTTATAAACAATATGCTCGCTGATCAATTCCAAAGAATCAGATCGATTACTATTTTAAGTTACGGTGTCCAACTTCAGTAACACACACATATCACTTAATGAAGTTGATAATGCATTCGACTTTGTGTATGTAACTGAGGAATGTTATCGAAATAAATAAATAGTCTGCGTTCATATATTAGCTAAGTGAATTCTTCGAAAACATATGAATAATAAAGATTCCTGCATGTTATCAGTTACGAGGTGCAAAATCAAATGAAATTTTTCTCTAAAATTATTTGTTAATTTTGATAATCTTGGAAGATATTTTTATATTTTCAAAACTTGCGAATATATTCTAAAGCTTCGTAGGCCACTCATAGATCTATTCTATGGATAAGAGAATGATGTAGACATAGACTAAAAGTGCTTGTTGTTTTTTATATGTTTATACAAGAGAAAATAAAAAAGAATAAAGTATTTGCACGAGATAAGAAATCGTTTTTAGCAAGAGTCTCTTAAATCACAACGGTGAGTTTCGTGCACATAGACAAACGTATAGGAAAGAAAAGGACGCAATAAAATGACTCATGAGTTAATAATGATCTTTTTATTTTTCGATTTCAATAAAAGAAAATTAATTTCATCGATTGTTTTCTTTTCTTCAATATTTTTAATTAAAATTGAGTCAATGATTATAATTATTTTGATTTCTCGACTATTACTGAGAGAATCATTTATGTATTAGCTCAGTATGAGACTCAATTGATTATTTTATTAAATAAAATTATGAAAATAATCTAATAGAGAAAAAAACGAGTTTTATTATATGATTTGATTTTCTTTAATTTCAAATAAAAAAAAAAAAAAATTTTTTATTTGTTTTTTTGCTATCGTAGATGTCGAATGGGAGTAAATAAAAGTGGTAAATTAATAAAACGTGGTCCTGTACAAGTTGTACTCAAAGAAATTAATGATAAACGTCAATTAATTGTTCGATCGGATGATGCTCTTGGTAAATAGAAATAAAAGAATAGATTTTATAATTTTACTATTTAATCTAGGTCGTTTATATTTAAATATTTTATGGTCAAAATTAATTGAAATTAAAAAAAATTCAACCAAAGATCTTACATTCATCTGTAAACTTAATCCGGGTATGACCGAAGTAAAAGAAGGTGAATTTGTTACGATATTATTTCGATTTGACAATGAAATGGAACGTAATGATGCATATGAAAAACTTGGAAAAGAACGAACATAAACTTTTATTTAAAAGTTAAATTAACATTTATCTATGCCGAAAAGAATTTATCCTCTTTTCTCTATATATTTCTCTAGGTTAATTTCTTTTTTTTTGCTAACAACGTTCAGATCATAGTTTTCTTTTTTTGTTCAATCTTGTATTACGTATAGAAAGAAAAAAAAAAAATTCTTCATAATTCTTCATTGTTCTTTCTTTTTCTCTCTGTCTTTTTTTTTTGTTAAAGATGTTTGAAAATACTGATTCATCGGATGATAATGATGACAGTTTATCTAAACAAGTTTTACCTACAACAGATGATAACAATGATCCGATTGATATGAACAAAATACCAACAACTGGAGAAGAATATTTGAGACAGGTTCGGTACGATGACTGATTTTCTTTTTCGATCAAAAAAAATAAATCGAAATGAATTGCATGATAATTATTTTATTAGTCTTTTAAGTACGAAAATTTTATTATTTATTATATAAAGCAATATCATCGTATTTGAAATTTCAATCTTCACATTGATTGAGTTTTATTATAATAAGATTCATTGTAATGTTTAATATCAAATTATTTTTGAGTCTGAATTATGTCCATCATTTAGATTCGAATGAGGATGAAAAACATGCTTTTACTATAGCTGCATTTTAGGATAGAAGTAATCAAAAGATCTGAAACTTTTGCAATAAGATATTCTCCTTAAGATGTATTTCTATGCAAAGTTTTAAGTCAAAATTTGAAGGTCAATTTTCTGAGGAAGATCATGATATTATGCTAAAAATCACTGTAAGAAAAGTGATTTGACACTTATAAACTTTTCATCATTAGTACCGTACGCTGATAATATTAGTCAATTATGCATAGTTGCTCCTATGGTAGAATAGCTCAAGTTAGATGTGTATTCTGAATTATGATAGATGATTTCAAACGCCTGGAAAATAGAGAATGATACGACCATGGAAAAAGACTAAATAGATATAGTTAAAGCTAATATTCCCTTTTGATTTGTTCTTGTAATAATGGCTTCTCTAGAGTAGTGCCCGACGTGACCAACTTTTTTGGTTACGGTGAGCCTAGCCCGTAACCGTGAGTCACGGCCCTTCTTTCTGGTTTCTCAACATAAAAAAACTTTCCAGAAAGAGCTATTGCAAAGTTTCCGTTCACTATTAAAAGTGATGATCACGACAGGGGGGGGGGGGCGGGCGGGTAGCTTCGCGAAGGTCACCCTACTCCTCCTCAGGGGTTTCCAACATTTCGAAAAAATTCCCGTGACTGACCGTGACCAAGGTCCAGTCACGGTGGGCACTACTCTAGAGTGTTCATGTCAGGATTAATCACTGACAGACTCGTTCTTTACTTGATCCTTTTCGTTTTATTATCGAATTTTGTAAAAATTTATAAATTAAATTGTAATGAATTTTAATTAAAAATTATTCTACTAATAAATTGATCTAACTTGAAATTCACTGTCACAAGCATAATATTTGCATTCAGTTTAAACCTAAATTTGTTTACGAAATGGGTTGAGATTGAAGGAATCATCCTATAAATGCATATCTGATTATATCTTACTGAATAAAATATTCTTTCGTGGTATTTTCAACTTTATATTATTGTTTATACGCAAGTATTCAGAAATAAAGAACTATTATAATACCACAAATATGAGAAAAAGAAAAACAAATTCTTCAGCGGGGCATTCGCCGTTAGCCAAAAATGCTCTCTAGTGCTGGTTGCCATCGTCCTTCACGCTTGGTATTTTGAGTGTCGTTCACATCTCTGCATTACACATTCTAATAAATCATGAAAATCTCTATCACCATATTATGTGTAATATGATTTGGTAACCAATATGTATATTAATATTCAGAGATACTCAAGCAATCAAGTGCTTCTTTGTACAGGGTAGGAAATAATACTATTCCAGGGGGGTAGCACTATGATTTCAAATAGCATTAACAATGAATTTTATACCAAATGAAAGCTTGTGAAAAATGGGGTTTAGGAGTATGATTGGCCATTCATAGTATGAGAATGGGCTATAGAATNAATTAAAGTTTAAGTATGATTTTGTAGAGAATGTCACAGCGCTTCTATTAAAAACGGAGTTTGTTCCAGGAAACGTAAGGAACAGGAGTTAGAGCAAAAATACCGAAACCGCGGTCGCGGTTAATTTTTATTTTTTTTTGAAGCACATTTCTAAGCTTATAACTTTCTTACTACATGAGCTAGCGGGATCATTCAACAGTCATTTTGTAGAGCGTCTTTTGTTGCATCTTTTCTTCATAGAAACAAATTTACAACCATGTGCTTCACTATAGAAAAATTTATTACACAAATCAAGTCAGGACTTCTGGGCCACCCTTTATTGATGCACTCGTACCCATATTCATTGAAGCATTGTAATAAACTGATAAATTACAAAAAGAGACATATTTTTATTGAGTTAGTCTCTTAACATTACAGCGAACGCTAGTTTCAGTGTAATTAGTGCTCCCACGGATCCTATGTCGATCACTTAATGTTGAGTGTAGACATGCACAGCAGAGATGGAACCGATTCCATCTCTAATGTGCTGAATCTGAACAATGGCTCGATGTGCAGATATGATACAATTAGTTCAGATAGTGTCGGGTATTTGGACATTTACCTAAGCGTTCGTTGAGGTAAATAAGCAATTATGAAAGTACTCTACTGTTCAGTTAAGTTCGAACATTATTGACCATTTTTAGGATGTGTTCAGATCTTCGATTTTTGAATTGTTTATTCCGATATGTGTAGATCTATCATAGTCAAATCTGAAATCCTTTCTTTTACTTCCTTTTATGAATCATATGAAAAATGATTGCAGTTCAGACCGAACTCGAACGTTCGAGTTCAACTTATATCTAATTCAGCATTTACACCAATACTGCATGTTCCTAGTCACAATTTTTATTTTAATATTTTATTCATATAAGGTTTGGCACTTGGTGGTGGCCTTGAATTAGCCTTAGCATGTGACATTCGCATAGCTGGTAAGCGTTTAATAGATTTAATATACAGTCAATCTATTTAAATTTTTTACAGCACATACAGCTAAACTTGGTTTAACAGAAACAAAACTTGGTATTATTCCTGGTGCTGGTGGTACTCAACGTTTACCTCGAATAATTGGTTCATCAAAAGCTAAAGAACTTATATATACTGGTTTGATTTTTGCTCATTAAACATTCTTTTTTATTTTCTTCAATAAAATAATTTTTAGGACGAATTTTGAGTGGTCAACAAGCATATGAAATTCGTTTAGTTAATGAAGTTGTTAAACAAAATGAACAATTAAATGCAGCATATCAACGTTCACTTGAAATAGCACATGAAATTGTTCAACAGGTTTATTTTTAAATTATGATTAATTATTTTTCGAAACACTGTTTTTTGTTGTTGTTGTTGTGTTTGATTAAATAGGGACCATTAGCTGTTCGAATGGCAAAACAAGCAATTAATAAAGGTCTTGAAGTTGATCTTCAAACAGGTCTTGATGTTGAAGAAGGTTGTTATGATACTGTATTAACATCTGAAGATCGTATTGAAGGTTTAAAAGCTTTTCAAGAAAAACGAAAACCTGTTTATAAAGGCGTTTAATTAGACTTATTTCTTTTGTTTTTGATTGTTTGTGTATTGTATTTTTTATTTTTTATTTTTTCCTCCCATGAAAAAAAAAACAAAACTAAAAAGAAAATATTCATGTATAATATTCTGAATATTTTATCATATGCCTCTAAATCTTTCATATAGATTATATTATGGTTGGCTATGATCCGGAGAAAAAAAATTTAACAAATAAACAAATATTAATTGCTAGTGCGACAGCAAGTTTTATTTCACGTTTTCTTTTACAACCACTTGATGTTGTTAAAATACGTTTTCAAGTACGATAGAAAAAAAAAAATTCTATTTTTATTATTGTGAGAAATACATATTTATATACATATAGCTTCAAATTGAACCTATTCGAGATTTAAAAGGTTCAAAATATCATAATCTATTTCAAACTATTCGTTTAATTCATCATGAAGAAGGTATACGAGCATTTTGGAAAGGTCATATCGCAGCACAGGTTCTTTCAATGACATATAATTCTGCTCAAGTAAATTTTTAACATTGAAAAGTTTCTGTTTTTTATTTTTATTTTATTAATTATCATAGATGTATGCATTTGAAAAAGTAACCAAACAATTGGGAGAAGTTTTTCCTATTACAACATCTTCACCAACAGCTAAAACAATAACACATTTTATTACTGGCTCAATTGCTGCTAGTATAGCTATAGTTAGTTGTCAGCCAGCAGATGTTTTACGAACAAGATTTGTTGGACAAGGCGAACCAAAGGTTTGTCAAAATTTATTTTTTCATGTTTTTCTATGAGATCTTTTACTCTGTATCTTAGTGTAAAAGCGAACTAAATGTTAATAAGCCCCCCCCCCCCCCTCAAAAATCGATCTCAGGTCAGGAACATCCAAATTCCATTTTCAGCCCTATAGCACGATGTTTAACAGAAATATTCACCAAACAAGGGTCCAAAATAGCCCAATAGTATCTCCAAGTTTTCTCTGTGGGCTTTCATTCTAGTCANTAGTTCGCTTTTACACTAAGATACAGAGTAAAAGATCTCATAGAAAAACATGAAAAAATAAATTTTGACAAACCTTGAAGCTACTAAAATATAGAAAAGTATATGTATAATTTTTTTAGAATATTTTAATGGTTTGGAAATGAAAACCAATGTATTTCAGTCAGTATTCGACATGGGAAAAATTTTCGTTACTCTCAACCCGAGATGGATTGTAGTATCGATTATTTGTCTCTTACTCTTGAGAAAATGAATTTGTTAATTCTTTCTTTCTTCCTTTTATTTCATAGTTGGAAATAAAAGATATGTACATTGATCTCTTTTCGTTAGTGGTATTTCATAGTTTAGACAATACAATTATGTAATAGAATTTTTTGTTTTTTTATGTATAAAACTTGAGACCTTTATTTCACCTTGAACAGGAAATGCACTTGCTATGCATTGTTATCCAATGTTAATAAAGAAAAGATTGTTAGATACATGACTTTTTGTTCTACTAAGCTTTTCGACACCTTCTTAAATACTTTTGATATCTACAAAATTTTCAGACAGCAGATCTACTTTGAAATCCAAAACTTTTTTCGGAAATCGATCTGACTCGGACACTAATTTCAATGGCCAAAATCAATGATACTGCTAATTTTTTCGAGTACACTGAGAAACGAACTATGTATCTGTGGTAATATAATATAAGACTAAACAGTTAACAAATATGACGTTTACTTTGGTCACGAAGATGTATTGTTTTTTTTCCACAATTCATGAAAAGTAACTGTTTTCCATTGAAGTCACAAAAAATCAGCTTGTTTTATTAAAATAGGGCATTGTTTATTTTACTTATACAGTAAAATCTATCTGTTATGAGTATCTTCTTATTCTGAACAGTGAACGCTCATTTATGGTTCCACTAGCAATAACAACTTCTGTAATGTGAGCAACATATGTTCTGTCACTTATATGCAGAACGAGACAAAGAAATAGTGTTTTATGTGTATAGCGTAAACAATCATGGGACACCTTTAAAAAAGAGGATGAAGAAATCGTACATATTTAAAAGAAAAAAAGAATCAATATTACATAAGATCAATAGTACTTAATGTAACATCATTGTCGTGTTTGTGTTATTCATGTAAAAAACACTTTATAAAAATCACAACAAAAAAAAATCGATTTTTTACATCAAGTGTTTTTAGATGAATAACAATCAGTACCATTAAATCAAGTCAATACGAGTAAATTTACATTTGATTAAAAATGTCGAAAGAATAAAAAGATCGTCTTGTACAGCCGAAAAGTAATTCCTATTGAATATTCATAGATCGGAAACAAAAATAAACTAAATAATCTTCCAATCATAAGCACATATGTAAAATGAGCAATTTCGGTCACTCTCGATAGTTCTTGCATTAGAGAGGTTTTACTATATCTTAACAGAAATGAAACATATAATCTTTGGCTTGTTTCTTTAAAACAATAGAACGAAACGTTTTTATATATCATACAGTATAATTGTATGATATTTATCTACTTAACATTTATTTTTAGCATGCTGTTGCCACGATGTAACAGGTATTTAGAAGGTTGCGTTTTTTATTTTTGATTGAATATCAAATACTCTTTCACAATTATACATAAATGTTTGATTACAATTCACTTTTGATGAATAGGAATAGCCTGTCTATATTAACTGCTATAATAAAATAAGCATTTTGAATAGGGTTCAGGTTCTTATTTTACCTGAGTCATTTAGTATTACATGTGATTAAGGATCTAAGTAGAAAGAAGAATTTGAGTGCCTTGTTTTATTTTTCTTCAAAACTAAATATTCGCTCATATGGAAAAAATAAACTAATAGAAGCAATCTATAAAGAGTAAATACAATTCATTGCTGTGCGACAGTAGTATCACTATAGTAGATAACTTTTAGAAGAAATATTCTTTCTAATTCAACATCAGAACTAATCAAGGCTCTTGTATCAAAGCAGTTTTATCTATCTTTCAAACCATTGAAAACCAGCTATTTCGTTCATTGTTTTTATGCTCATTCGAATTACTCGTTCAAAGTCATACTTAGTATGTTGCTATGAATTTACTTCAGTGATATTCTTATTGTTATTCACTGACTGTTAATCTACTACTGGTTCTTATGAGTATCAATATTAGTTGGAAGAATCATGCGACATAAGAATTCTTTGCGAAAAGTTGAATTAGATTAGCATTTGTTGACTATCACTTATGTTTGTATTTGGTAGAAAAATCTCGAACTTTCGAAAGTATCTTTCGTACACTATCAAAATCATCTATATTACTTTTCGACTTATTTTTAACAAGAAAATTAAGTAAGTTTTGTAGGTGACTATTAGTTTGTTATTTCTAACAATGCTCGTGTAGAAATCAAATCTAACTCATTCTCTATACGATAATTATATTCGTATCATATACTGAGTGTGATCTATTTTCATTTAGATCTATTACTCATATATTCAAGCAATAAGTCTTATATTGACTCGAGAAGGTTTTTATGGATTTTATCGTGGTTTAATTCCAGCAATTATTCTTTATGCACCTGTTTCAGCGCTTACATTTGGATTTTATGAATTATTTAATCGAGCATGGAATCATTTTTCATTTAGAAATTTTGGTACTTTAATTTATTAATTTCATTTTTATGTCCTACTTTTTTCTTTTATATATATATATTAATAGACTCTATGAAACATGCATTTAATGGTGGTGCAGCTGGTGTGTTAGCTAAATTTGTTGTTTATCCATTTGATTTAACAAAAAAACGACTTGAAGTTGTAAGATTTGAAGAAGCTCGATCTAGATTTGGACAGGTATTTTTCTTATGAACATGAATCTAATAAATAATGAATAAATATTTTCATATGATGTTTTTTTTAATTTTAGACACGTATGTATTCTGGTATGATAAATTGTATATCAGATACAATTCGAAGTGATGGTTTTACTGGATTGTACAAAGGTATTGCACCAAGTCTTATTAAAGCTTATCTAGCAACAGCTATTACTTTGGGTATTTATGATTCTATTTGTAATCGTTTTCGTCAAACATCGTCTGATTAATTTTTCTCATTGTATTGATGTATATTTTTTTTTCAAGCTCTTTTTATTCATTTTTAAATGAAATAAAAACAAAAAGAACATAAATGAAATGATACGCTTTTGAAGATCTATATACATGAGAAATATATTGTTTGATAAACTTGAAGAAAGTAATGGTTATAGACTTTTGAAGAAATGTTTGAGAAACAAAAAAAAAATGGATGTTCTAATTCATGAAATACGAGTTCTATTTTTAATGTGAAATTGATTAAGATTTGTATGGTATGCTAAATGAAGTAGGTATCAAATTTTCTTTTTTTTTTGTCTTAGAAATAAAGTAATGGAAGTCAAGTTTTAACTAAGGTGTTCAATTTCATAAACGGTTCCATGGATATAAAATTATGGTATGAGTACGAATGAGTGATTACTAGTTCCATTCTTTTTTATTTCTTCTCGCTCGTTGTGAATGGTAGTATGTGTGTATGTGCGACACTTTGCGACATTGGATCAAGAGAAGAAGAGATGCTCTCTTTCTTTTTTCTTGAAGTATTACGTAAGATAAAAGGAAAAAAAAGACGAAGTATATGTAAAATGGAAGGTGTCACTCTTGTGTCACAGCTGAGAAACAAACTTAGTAAGCTGTGGGTCATATTTGTCGACAAGGTCAATATTATTAGAAGCCGGTTACGTTTGTATTAATTTAGTAAGGTTTTTTTTCTTTTTCTTTTTATTATTATTATAAAAAATAAAGTAATTACATTCTCATATTGTTGAACTGAATGTCAGATAATGGAATGTCTCACTTAAAAAAAGACTAGTAGATTCATTTGATTGAAATAAAAAATGGATACGGTTATATTCAAAAGATGATTTTCCACTTCGATGATTATTGTTTTATTTGAGAAATGCAAACTAGAAGATTAGTAGAATGGAATTTTTTTTTCTATATCTATGTTTGTCTTTTCTTAAAAATCTATTAACAAAAAAAATGAGTTCTTGCATAGTTCTAATGGATTTAATGGTTTAACATATTATTGAACGAGGTATAGTCACGATTTTTTTTATAAAGAATGCAAGAAAAAATGTTTAGTCCCTTCATAATAGTAACTCTAGTTTTCGAATTTTTTTTACCAATAAAATGTTTATAGATAGCCAAATAAGTATTTATAGTTTTCCTTCATCACCAATTATTTTTATTCTCTCTACATAGTAGACGTATTCTTCTGTGAAACTTTGTTAGTATACATTGCTATAAAACAAAATGTCCTTGACATATCTCAGTAATTGCTTTAATGATCGTGATCTTCAATGTTTCAAGAAGATAGCTTGTTAAACTAAGATGTATATACTTATATTAATAGTACTGAAAATGAGTTTATTAGATTGAAATTATATGACGTTTTAGTTGAAGATTGGATGTGAAGTAATAATAATCTTAATATACCTGCCATCTGTTATGACAAATGATTTTGAAATTAGAGTGAGAAAAGAATTTGTCGTCACACAATGAAAAAGAGTCGATGATAGAATGTAATATATTATAGAAAAGCATGATTGATTCTCTACCTGTTGTGCAAAGTTCATCATGTTTATTCAGATAGAATATAGTAAAATATGAATTTGAAGTATTTTGGAAAACAATCCAACGAAAAAAAAGAAGCAAAATTTATTCTCATATTGATCGGATTTTCTTTTCTGGTTAAAAAAAAACAATATCTCAAGACGAGAAAAATTGATTTATTAGTGACACTTTTTTGCTATTTATTTATTTATATATTGAGCTTATGATGTTTGTCTATATGAAGTCATTTTAGTATTTTCATTCTTCGGCAAATTCCTAAGACAAGAATAATAATCATTATTTTGTTTTGTTTTGTTTTTTTTCATTGTATAGGTTTCAAGATATTAATCAATGTCAACAAAAAATTCTACACATAAAACTCCTTGGCGATATCGTCGTTTTTGGCGTTTATTTCGACGTGAAAAACCATCAGTCATTGATATAACTTATTCATATCAATATATGATGCGTTTTCGTATGTTATGTCATTGATTTTATTTCTTAACATTTTTTAAATTCTTTAGCACGATTGCCTATTACAGTCCCACCACTTGTGCCGACATTAATGTCTTATCGATGGTATGTTTCTTTATTTTATATCTCTTCTCGTGGAATGTTTGTATTCGGGCGTTTCGTACTAAACTATCGTAGTTATTGTTGACGTAAAGCTTGCGTATTGAACAAATGACATTGTATTCGAAAAGATAAAACAAGAAAGAGAGCGAGAGAGAGAGAGAAAGAAAAAACAGAGAAAGAGAAAGAGTGAGATTATAGATCGAAAAGAAGGATTAAGCTTACGCGCGTGCAACCGAACGAATACACAAGCAATCGTTTAGGCACGTTCAAAAAATGCAAACAATCAGTCGACTGCCGAGTAATTGACACGCATCTGTTTAACGCCTTTTTTTGTGTTGTAAACATCTTTTCGTTTTTGTTTTTTTTTATTATTATTATTCTTCTCCCCCATTGTCTTTTGTGTGAATACACGATCACTATTGATAGTGGTGTCAAGGCAAAAAACAGAGGACGAGAGAGAAAGAAGGAGAGAGAGAGAGAGAGAGAGGTGAGACAGACGCGTTGCCATTATTCTATATGTGTGTATGTCTCGTATTTGAACATGCTCATTCTGCTTTATTCAACATCATTTGTTATAATTCTCGAATTTCAAATTGAATATCATCAATCAACTAACGACGATAAATACTCATTTCTTATATATAATATGTGGTTTTTTTCTCGTTGTATAAGCATTGATTCTTTAAATACTTGTTTTCAACAACAAAAAAACAAAACAAGTTATGATTTTTGTTTATGTCGTGGAGGATCAAGTATTTTAGCTAAAAGGTGAGAATTATTAAAATTTATTAAAAAATAAATATTAAAATCTTTTTTTTGGTTTGTTAAAGAGAATAATTCGACTAGAAGTATTATAACTTCTATCAACAATTAATTGATGTTTACTTTCTATACAAACAAAAAAAATTAGTTAAAAGAATTATAACAGTTTATCTATTGTATTGTTCGTAAAGAGATTTTCCGATAGAGAAAGAAAAGAAAGATTTATTGAAATAGATTCAAGCTTTTTTAAAGAATAAATTCATTCGTTAAGATATTATTAATCTTTACTTAGTTTTTTTTTGTCTTTCTTGCATGAATTGAATGANTTCACACTTACATCCGCGCTCATACTCTTGTTTTGTATCAAATGGATGATGCAACAATCACGTACTATACATGAAATAAGCAACAAGTTCACTGCAGTACCAGTGTTCTTTCTATCAAATTCGTTTATCCTAGTTTATTGTAGTTCTTCAATCGAAAACAAAAAGTGGGACATATATGTCTCACCGCCCATCAAAGGGTTAATGTTATTTAACAATTTATTTTTCATTAACATTTAACCTATATTCAATAGAAATTTCAACATATTAACAAACAATTTTTATGATTTTATTGAAGAAAAACATTAATTTAGAATAGTCTAGCACTGAGAAAGATATTCTCTCGTGTATTTTTTATGATAAAGTAGCTTTATCATATGGTAGTGAAATCCTCGAGAGATTAAAGCGTGAAACGCGATATAACTGCTGCTACTAATAACAGGAAAATTCTTTTATTTTATGTATTTTGGAACATATTTCTCCAGCATCCTTTTACTTAATCCTACAGAAATACAATAAGAAAGTAGTTCATATACAATAACAAGACGTTATTACAATACAGTACTGGATCATAGATCAACAACATTCGCTAGGGTTTGTAATGGTCTCTGACAGACATTTGTCGTGGGCTGTAATGATCTTTAGCAGGCGTGTATGATAATTTCTAGCAGGCGTTTGTGATGATCTCTAGCACGCATCTGTCAGAGCCTGGACGGCACGAGGAGAGCATCCTAATTGTTACCCTTGTACTTCAACACTCGTTCTTGACTGTCTTTCAAAGAATATTATCACCTACTTTCTTTGAAACAAGAAGTTTTCTATGTCAAAACAGTAACAAATTTTGATAATTGTTCACAAGTTCAAACAAGAAAATATTCATCTCAGATGAATACATTCAACCATTGATAACTCAATGTCTAATTACATCTGTCGTTGACATGATATTTATTATAATTATTTGGTATGATTAGAATGATGTAATTAAAATCTTATTTAAAATAACGTCTGATAAATCTAAAAACTTGAAAAATAAAATATACCTGATTTTAAATATCGTTCTTGAATAACAGCATAAATAACAAGTGCATTACCAAAAACGGTAATAATACAAAAACAACAAAGAAATATAATTAATATTAAATTAGTAAGACCAATATATTGTTTTGATTCGTGTAAAGAAATATTTAAAGATATTTTAGAATTGTTTATTAAATTGTGATTTGTTAAATTGGTAACTATTGGCATTGAAGTTTTTATACAGATAAGAAAGTAGAAAAAAGATCATCATAGCGTTTATCAACGTAATCGTTGTTGTTCTGTTAACATTTTTACAAGAGATAAATATCTAAAAAAAGAGGAATTAAAAAAAACAAAGAATTCTTTATCCAATCCATAAAACAAATACACATATAAATAAGAGAATATAACTTATCAAATCGAAAATCTTAATAATCGTTTTAAACACACTCGCATAATAACAATAATGAATTGAATCCTGTCACATCATTGATAGCAGTATAAGATAAAAATAATACATGAATGTCTGCTATATAATGTCAAGCATAATGCTTTTTTCTTCCTAAATACAACTCAGAGGATTAAGCCAAATAATTATCTGGTGTTTTATATAAATAGTTTTATAATATAAGTACCCGACACTTCCCGTCTGTTTATACTTCGCTTATACGCAAAATAACAATATGTAATTGAGACAACATTTTTTTTTTTTAGAATAGCATGTTTTCTATTCTAAATTAATGTTGAATAAGAAAGAATGTGAACTATAGTAATGTTTTGTCTACTATGTGCCGATCAAGTCTATGTTAGACTTGTCAACTGACTATTTTAATATGCAAAAAAAAAAAAAAAGATAAAAATGATTGAAAGCATCTAGTTTTATTATCGTATAAGAGACAATGTCACTCATGGTTAACTATTTACTCGTACTATTTTTCTAGAATTTCTTTTTTCTCTATATTATTATTGGTCTTGTTTTTTCTTGCTAACTGTCCATGTTTACGCACTGTTTCATTATCGTTTACAGACATCACTATATAAATGTTCTTTAAAATGAATAAGTATAATTTGTGTGTATGATAGTAATGAACATCTCGACATACTATACAATTAATATAAGAGAAACTAAATTAAATTGTTGCACATTGTCATGTTCGATAATGTAATAATATAATAACAATGAATAGAATTTCTTTTATTTTTCTTTTTTTGAGTTCTAAGAAATATTTTTCTCTGAATATTTACAAGCGTTTGGTTCTGTTTTCTTGTCACTATGTATAAGAAGATCATATTTCCATCTGCATAAGGTCAAATCTGAATATTAGAAAACTTAAATTTTTTATTAATTTATAAGAAAAAAGTGAGTTTATAATTGTTATCATAGAATTATTTTGGATTCGACAGAGTCTGGAATATGTTGTTTGATTAACTGAGAACAATAATAATCTCTCAATCGATGTTTTCAGCTTAATTCTCTTCTTCTTTTTTTTTCCTCATGTCATGTGCAGAAAAAAAGCGATAACATCAAATGAAAATAAATTCCGTGATTTATTTACTTCCATTGTTACAAACAATTTATAGACTTACGGCGATCCATTACCGAATTGGAGGTAATTTCCCACTAATATCGTCAATCAATCATAAGTAATTTACACTAATATTTATTTCAATGAAGAAAAATCATTTTTCTCTTCGAAGAAAATAACTGATTTTATATATCTGTTGTGCTTCCATAGTAACAAAACAAGAATGAACGCTTATCTATAAAGCGAAAAAAAATATCTAGGCCTTTATGACAGACATTTTTTAAACTACGCAGTTCATAGTAACAAAAATCTTTGATTTATCGAGAAAGACTACTTTCAGTTCTACTACCGGATGTTCAATTTCATAATAACTATTATAATATACGTCAGCCTTTGCGTTTTTCTTCCAAAAAAATTTCAATATGCCTATCAATTAACATATGAATGCTTATTATTTGTAATAAAATGGTAATATTTCACTTCTATTTATACATGCTCTCATGTACTGAATATTGTCTTAACTTTTGTTATATAAGTATATAAAAAATAATAAAAAAAAGTTAATTAAACAAAGTAGAAAACCCACTTTCCATAGAATCTATGTAAAAAAAAAAAATTTTTTTTCAATAAATCAAGTATTAATGTGAATCAAAAATTCTTACTTAATGTTTTTTTATTAATTCATAAAACGAACAAATGCACATTGTTCCATAGGAATAATGAAGCTTATTTCGGAATGTCAATAATTAGATTCATATTCACTATATATATATATATATATATGTGACAAAAAAAGAAAAAGAAAAGGCCTAGACAATATTATTTCAAAATCAAGATGACATTCTTCGGCGATTTAATATAATATATCTAATAGGAATAAATGGAGAGAACCTGATTTTTTACATGGTATTTTCCGATGGTGTTAAATACTTGCTTCCGACATCCGATTTATTTTTTATAGCTGCATCTTATTCGATTATGTGCGTGTATGCAGAAAAGAAAAACGGAATATATATCCATTAAGAAATAAATCTCTTACTTTTGTTTTTGCCTCAGTGTCATCATTCACATCTGTTTTTCATCGGTTATACACTGAATTAGATCAAAAAATAAAACGAAAAAAAAAAAAAAAAAGAAACAGAAAGGAAATGATATATTCATGCTATATTGATGGCACTATTATACTTAACTTAAATGCATGCGTCTTATTAGAAAGAAGAATATAGACTTTCACCTTATGTAAATATATTAATAGAGAACATTTATAATATTTTCTCGTTTTTCTTCTATGCTCTGTTTGAAATATATAAAATATTCTAGTTAATTTATTATTCAAAGATGATAATAATGATAATGAAAATTCATTTTTTGACTACATACGTGATGCTACATTTGGTTAACCTACAGTGACAAAACTAGCAACAATGAGACAAATGGATATATAGTAATGCATTTTGATACATTGTGTTACTTAGCACAAGCAAAGATTTTCTTTCTTTTTTTTTTCTTCTTTTTGTTCTCTCTTTGCTTAACTTAGTGACAAAAAAAAACGACACTTCGACATCATTTCTTGCTCTTTCAATGTTGACCTTCGAAGAATAATCTTTTAAACATATTCAGAAAAAGAACTCTTTTTTTTATACTAGCAAATAAGAGAGCCAGAATAAAAGAAGATTAAGGGCAAATATCACTAATAATCAATTAATAGCTAGTTTCCAATTATTCCAGTAAAATAAACAAACATTAGTAGTTCTTTTTTTTTGAATCGTTAAGGATAGAAATGCACACATACTCTGTGTTGATCTGTCAACGAAAACGACAAATAAATATAATACAGACCTTAGAGAAATAAGGAAATATTTTTTTTTGCCATGACTTAATTTGAAGTATTTTATTTATGTCGAGGAGCATCAGATATTTTTCAAACAACAACAACAAAAGAATTACCAAGAAGATAATAAATGATTATATTCTTTTGAAAATGATGTCTATTGAACTATAATTACATGAATGAATTTCTTTGACGTTGACGATTGCTTTTATTGAATTATAGAGAAAATGATGAAAAGAAAAAGACAACAGACAAACTAGAACTATCTATTACTTCTGAAATAAAAATGTCCTCAATAAGTTTTTCAAATGAATGAGTAGATTGATCTTCATAGAATATAAATCTTAAGTATCCTTATTCAAAATCTTAAGATTTATATTCAATTAAAACTAAATAATATTAAGTGAGATCATTTTTAGGAACAATTTCAAGTCATGTTCTATGTAATTCCTTTTTATTTCTTTTTTATACAAAATTAAAAATTAATTTAACTTGCTACTTATTATTTTATCATGAAGATTAAACTTAAGTTAAGCTTTATACTCTTTTACATTCCATAATTGAACTATTTAATATTGAAAAAGCTTTGCCTACGTCTAATTATATTATTAGAACATTAAGATACAAGTCATGTTTTTGTTATTAAAACATATTAACTAATAAAAAAAACTACTTTTTAAGAATGCATGAGTACTTGATTCTAACAAATGTTATGTTTAATACCGTATTATTACAAGGAATTCTCTACTCGACTTAACTCCTATATAGACAAATGTAATTAATGATGCATATAACACTTATACCAAGTGTCTATCTCATAGCTGTTAACAATTGAATTAATTTACCGGTAAACAGTCATGGAAAATGGCAGATGACAATAAGACATACAATCGTCATTGGATCTAATGAAATGTGATAAATATAATAAAAAGATTGTCAGAGAATATGAACTATACTTTTTTTTTTAATGACAGTAACAGCCGTAAATGATGTTTTCTCGTCACTTTTTATTCTTTCTTGTGTGTGTGGCGTAGTCTTTTTCTCTTTCTCTACATTTATGACAATATCTTATATTTTCATCCACTCATCTTTTTTTTCTTCCGTTAGTTGCATCATTCTTTTCACCTTATTTTTCATATTTCCGAGTTCTTTTTACTTATGTTGTTGTTTATCATTCATCTGTTAGTAAAATATTTAAAGATATCCTTTAAGTATTCACTTTAAAATGAAGAATTTTTGTCTATTTTTATGCCATCATCCTCATTTGTTATTTAAACTTAAACCAAGACGGCTGTGTTCATTTCTCTTTGCAAAAAAAAGCTTTATGTTGAATTATGCAACAAAATCAGATTAGTTTTCTTTTCTTTTTTAATTTTATTAAAAGCTACTTTTGACAAGACAAAGAAAACCTTGGATAAAAAAGAAAAACTAATTTTATTTTTCAAGATCTCAATTGATCACGAAAAAGAAAATTTCTCCATGATGACCATCGATCAGAATTTTCATATAAATAAACCATTGAACGTGTTAATGATGGTTGTAAAGTTTCTCGATGACATTCAAATAACCAAAGAACTACACCCCAAATAAATGCAGCAAACCATGGAAATACTGGTCGTTGAGTTTTTGGTAACCATGAACGTTTTTGTGCATAACGTGCAAAACCAACAGTTATACGTGCAAGAAGATAAAATATTATTTGTTCATTAACACTATTATGTTTATGAAAAACAAAATAAGCAACAATGAATGCACAAATAAATGCACGGAATGGTTTTGATAGACCAAATACTGAAGCAGCAATTGTTCGAAGTGTTTTATAACAAAATACAAATAGACCTAAATTTCTCGAATGTAAATATGTTAAACGA